TTGTATAATGTTAAATAATATTATTTATAATAACATGTTAACAAAATGGATCAATTCATTAGAAGGACAAGTAAATGATTACGAAATTATATCAATTAATTAAATCGTTAGAATAATAACTGTATTTAATTTTAATTAGATGTAACTTACATTTTATTTTTCAATACCGAATTTGTTAAAAGCACTCAACCAACGCCTATGCGCTATCTTGAACATTTTTGTGGAATATCGGATTAATTTTACTCACATTTTATGCTTTTTTATTTTTTACTTCATGCTCAAACATACAAGTGATGATTTTGCGTACTCCCAACTCAATTTAATTGTTGATAAGGTTACGCCGTTTTTGAGAAAAAAAAATGTTTTCTGATTTTTCGTTTTTCAGATTTACTCGAAAACGAAAATAGATAGGGGTCTAAATTTTTCAGGATTAACACAGGACACAGCATTTTTATTTTAAAATGCAGAAAGTTCTAATTTGTTACTGAATTAAGAAACAATTGCATAACTATTTCAAATTTTAACTAATAAATTATTCCCACAAGAGTAAAAAAAACAAATCTTAATTTTTTGAAAGTTTTGAAATGGTTTAAAAGTTTTATCAACTATTATCATCTAACAATTACCAACGTATCTCAAGTTTTTCTTCGTGTAGTACTGTAGTACTTCATAAACGTAATTGAAAAATGCTGCTTAAAGTAATTAATAAGTATAATGTCGACAGTTCCTTCACAATTAAAAATTACCAATTTTTACTTGGTAATTCTTAGGTGTCAAAAACAATTTGATAAATAAATATACCCTTACAAATAAAATAATTGTATAATTATACTACCTACACATATAGGTATGGATTGGCAAAAATATATATAAAAGTTCTCCTTTTTTGAAATGTTACTAACCCTAAGTCAAAAATTGTTGTGAACTATTAATTAACAGCTATTGTAGGTTTTTTTTGCCAAAGCTACCCATACAAATATCGACTACATATACGAAGTTCCAAGTTCGTTTAGAGGATAACGACTGATTTGAATGTTACGATTTCCTTGACGTCCTTTACAGATAACAGCACACGTAAACACGTTCCTATGTTAAAATACTAAAGTTAAATTGTTAGCGTATAAAATATTTACTTGAAAACTTACATTTTCCAACGACTTATTTATTTAGCCTAAATTGGATGATTAATTAAGGTATACCGACTGAGCAGCGCGTAGTAGAATAAGCAACTAAATGAAAATTTATAAAATAAGCTTATTTATA